GAAAGAAATATGCTAGTATATTGCCTTAAAAGCGAATGACGCATTAACGGAATCATTGTTAAAATTTTAAGCCGCGTCATGAGAAAACCAACAGTGGGTTTGCGACCAGCATGGATCCAGACCAGCCTGCGCATCCGCGCAGTCTGATCAGGATCCATGTTGTTCGCTATCAGTTTCTCTGCTTGTTATAGGGTTTGTAAGCGAACAGCATGGATCCGATGCTGATCAGACTGCGCGGATGCGCAGGCTGGTCTGGATCTATGCTGGTCGCAAACCCATTGTGTTGGTTTTGTCGTTGCAAATCGCAACATATTACTAGTATTCTGCCGGTATCATTTATTCTGTTCAAGTAAGAAATTCATGTGCGTGAAACAGCTGAGTCATTTTATGTGACAACTCCTTCGAAAATCGACCTTAAGAAAATGAAAGCAATATAATTTTACTCTTGATAAACTCTATTTTTTTTTAAATAAAGCTTTATGTCCTTTAAAGGCACATTATACCTCAGAAATCCTTTTTTATTAAATTCTTTAGAAATGTAAAACATATGTTTAATAATGTTTTAATAATGGATTTAGAACATGTAAGATATTTAAAAGCTAAGGAAAGTAGTGCTGAATGTGCAGTTATGTGTCGTAAAGGTAGCAAAATGTAAACAAATAATATTTTGACTTCCATACAAAATACTAATTCATTATAATTATACCAATTGCCAGCAAAGCAAAAGACGCAAAGATAGTTCATTTATATGGCAAATAAGTATTTTTGTGGAACTTGTAACAAGACACCAAATATTTAAAATTTTGAGAAATAAAAAATGATAGCATTTCTGACGCATAATGTGCCTTTAACATGGGATATTAATTAACTTTACCGTGAAATAGTTAAGCTAGTTTCTCCCAGACGTCATTATTGGCATGAAAGCTCTAAAAAAGTGATACGATGAAGTTAATGTACAAGAAATATGTTACTTTGATAAAGGCCGAAACGTAAATACAATATATGGAAATAGATAATATTTATATGAATATATTTTAGGACTATGAACGAGAATATGTTTACTTGTTTTTCTTTAGAAAAAAATAAATCGAATATGACCTTTATCTAACCTGTTCATTCATTGGCTCCTCAATTCTGGCCTAACCACGCCTTTAGAACGCTAGTTATATATATGAGTGTAAAATGAATAAAAGTTCAAGATCAATATGCTTATATACGCTGCACATATCTTTTGTGTGTTTGTCCTTGTGGACATTTCTCTAACACAAGATGCCGATGAAAACCCGTTGGTCAAGTTATTGGAACTACAGATTGACCACTGTACTGCAGCATCATTCTGTACGTTTAACGCCAGGGATGACAATTCGCCGACACAAAATGAATCGTGCTGCTACGCATGCTCGTGTGACGCGGAATGTACTTTACATGGCACGTGTTGTCCAGACTACCATCTACTAGACACAATTGGGCGGGAAGTTTCTTACAGTATTTCTGATTTTTCTGACCGTTTAACGAATGTCAATGTGAAAACGGACAGTGGTCTCACCTGTGTCGAAGCAAGCATGCCTACTAGACGGAAAATTCATGAAATATCGGAAGTCTCTTACAAAATGATTAATAGCTGTCCTGACGGTTTCAGTGGCAACTCGGATATACTGAACAAATGTAACGACCCTGATGATGCCATCAGTTTTGAATACGATCTTTTCATTCCAGTAACATCTTTGAAATCTGGGACAACTTATAGAAACATGTACTGTTTCTTTTGTAATGAAGAATTGCTCGAGAGAACTGATGCAGCCATTTGGACATCAACATTTTTTTGCCGGAACTCTCACCACGATGATTTCATTCAAGCTACACCATATGAATTCTTCACATCAACAATAGTGGGAAATGTTTATCCTTGTCATATAGTGTTCAGTCCGGACACACTTATTGGATCGGACTTCGTTGCTGGTAAATGCGATATAATGGTCCATATAGAAACATGCCCTGATGGCTCGGAAAAACAATTAGATGAAATATGTAATTCTTTCAATCTACCTGTTGCCTACTTCAATAATCCATGGACATACAAGCGTTATAAAAACATTGCTTGCTTCCTTTGCAATGTAGAAAAACCTTTTAATCCCGTTTGTAATATCGAGCATTTCATCACTAGCTCGTATGGAATTGACCTTAATATTCAAACGAACGAGAACAATGTGGTAGTACATACTGACGAACTGGAGGAAGCCGTGCTGAATGTTGACGTCATTAAGAAGGAAGACAATGAGTGCGAGACTGGTTTTATCCGAAATTCTTCAATTGAGGTACATGTATTTATTTCTTAATACTATTACTTTTGCGTTAAAACAATAATCACAATGCTAAGAAACTTATATATAACGATCATGTAACTCAATAATCTTTGTGGTTTTAAATCATAAATATAATGCTCAATGAAGATTTTTCAATTTTGTTATTTCCTTTAAAAGCATTATTTTTAACGATATTACCGAATTGTTATTATATGTTAATATAGGGAGGTAATTAGACATTTATTTTCTATCAAGTCTAAGTCAAAGTTTTCAATAAGAAATGAAGGCATATATTCAAATGATTACATATAATGCGGACACATATTTGCAGTACATATTTTACATACTCCTTGATATTTGAAGCATGATTATACGTATACACATAGAACATTTCACTAAATTGTTGTAAAAACCTTAAGAATACAGCAAAAATTAATAACACATTATGAAGAGTTGTTTAAAATTAAGTAAGCGAAAATGAGCCGCGTCATGACAAAACCAACATAATGGGTTTGCGACCAGCATGGATCCAGACCAGCCTGCGCATCCGCGCATTCTGATCAGGATCCATGCTGTTCGCTTACAAACCCTATTAAAAGTAGAAAAACTGATAGCGAACATCATGGATTCTGATCAGACTGCGCGCGGATGCGCAGGCTGGTTGGATTCATGCTGGTCACAAAACCCATTATGTTGGTTTTGGCATGACTTGGCTCATATCAATAACACATTTTAAAGAGTTGTTAAAATTAAGTAAGCGAAAATGTACTATTAATTTACTCAAAAGGGTTCAATTATACTTGGAAAATATAATGTCATTTCTATAAGTAAATCTTGATAAAAGGATTTTCTGTGCGTGTTCATTTAATTCCCATTTGCTTTGTATCGTTCCTAACATTCAGCAATTTGTGTTTTAATATTTAAAAGGGTATTGTTTTGTTATTTCACAGAATACTTGCGCCCGTGTGTTGTGTCCATGGAATTTCTATATTCATGACGGTAACTGTATTCCAACTTTTACACGACTGCACAGTCTCAGGTTCAGCGCGTTGATAGAGGTCAGACGAGCAGAAATATTTGGTCTGGTAATGTTAGAAGAAATACGAAAAAACTACATGAAAAAGATAGAGACAATCGCGTCGACTATGTTTCGACATTTTGCGTACGGTCTTTATGAAAAAGAAAATGATTACGACCTTCTCGCTGTATCATTTACTGTAGATGAAGAAAACTACAACTATCTAGCAATGCTTAATCAGTATGTTGCCTTTCTGGATAAAATTTGCATACTTACAATCAATGCTAAATCGTCAGCAGTCAAAGTATCCTCATTTCAGTCAAGAAGCCCGTGGCAGGATTCTGAAATGATAATATATATGGTTCCTAGGCCGACACAAATCCGTAAATTTGAAATTCCAGAGTCATTGTCCTCATTTCAGGTGATGGAAATATATATATCCCATCTATGTTATCGGGCAACTGTACCAAATTCCGAAAGGGATTTTTATATAAACAATCATTATATAGATCAAGCTATTCAACAGACCGATTCTGGCCAATCTATAATATGTGTTAATGACATGTACAAACCAATGAGTGACATAAGCTCGGCGTTCATGTTCAGTGGCACATGCGCCCAAACTTCAATTGATTTTGTTCAAAATAAACAAAACTACAAGACGACTAAAATAAACAACGACAACAACGAAGACGACAATAAAAACAACAATAACAACAACCACAACAACAACAACAATGATAAAGATAACGACATGAACAACAAGAACGAGAACAGGGACGCTGGCGATATGGAAAAAGTAACAAACAGTATCCCCCGTACGGGTGATTCTTCAGACAAAGATGGCTCCTCCATCGATCTATCAACAGGTTTATTTGCAGGGGGCGTGGTTTTAACTGCAATTGTTGCCGTTGCAATTGTAGTTATCATAAGAAAAAGGAACCAACGTGCCGAAGCTGTTGAAGATGTGGGTGTACAAGATTTTCCACAAAAATAAGTTTATTACAATGCTTTTGTCAAAAGAAACATAATATACATATTCACTGAAGTATAATGCACCATTTGTTTTAATAAATATAGTAGTGTTGACTCTTTCTTAGTAATGACTCAACGTAAAAAATGACAGAAAACAAAAACAAAAAAGGGGAAAAAAAGGAAAAAAAACAACAAAAGAAAAAAAAACAACAACATTTGATCCACTTAAAATCGGTTTACAATAATAATGAAATGAAACATTTTTTTCAAAGTCACATTTTCAATACATATCTGATCTATGCCTATGATAAGATTTTATCATAAAATAGTGCATGCAATTTACATGTTATAAATCATAACAAGAAGTTTGCTTACTTGCGACAATAGAAAAAACAATATGAATATAGAAAAACAACATTTTCAAGCAAATTGGCGCCGAGTGATCAAAGAACACTGACTGTGT